TCTGGCGAAATTTCAATTGGAGACACATACACTGTGCGTCTTACATAAGCGTCACATATATTCTTATATGCGTTGACCAACCGCAACGTTTTCTACAATTTCTCTTTGGCTGTCACGCTGTATGCTTTAATTACAAAACGTAGAGAGATGATTAATTCTCGGACCAGGACGAAACGAATTTTACCAAAATTCTGTGGAAAGGAAACTGTTGACGGAATTGAGCCAGAAGAGCACATAGAAAAATGTAAGATAGTAAGCAGTAAATGAGTTAGCAATAGAGAACGTAAGATAATTATTTTTATATGATTTTTTACTGTGAAGTTGACTGATTTACTTACTGCTTATGTCTTATTATTTTACGTCTTTGTATATACCATAAACTTTAAATTTTAAACACACTGAAACAAAAATATTAAATTTTAATAAATATTCGCTATTATTTAGTTCCAAGTAAATATTTAATGAGCGTAAATATACATTGTTTATTTAGGAAAACAATTTAACTATTTAACATTTTTTTAAGTAAATTTATTTACTCACAAGCGCTATTCAAAGAAATATGTATAATAAGATTCAGTACATTTTTTGTCAATACAAGAGTCATGGCATATAAAACCTAAGTAATATCTAACTCTTGATATTGACAGAAAAACCTAAGCGGTACAAGGAAATCAACATGTTGAACTGTGCCGCTGTGTTACATTATAGCCTCTACTATGATTGTACCAATTCACTTACTGCTTAAGTTACTTGTGTGAATAAAGTCGCAGTGGACGTTTCTTTTCTCATATGGAGAAAACAATTTCTTTCGCAGGATGTCGCGAAGAATTAGCGTTTGCGCCACGGTGCTGCTCGTCCTATTCGAGTTGACCACGTCGGCCATGGTCCTGCCGAGGCCACCTCCGTCACCTAATCATATCCACCAGGATCAGGAACTATCCGCGCGCAAATCCATCGAGGGCAAATCCCTGCACGGCGTCTCGCGAAGCACCAATGTGGAGAGACCAGATACCGAGGACTACAGGTATCGATTCGCCAGCGACCAGCGTTCGTTCAATGCGACTTTTTCCACCCTATTTTTTTCATATCGCCGACCGGTATCGATATTATATTCCATGGCCGTCGCACGTTGCGCCGGCAATTCACTTTCGTTTCGTGTTTAGAATCGCGAACTCGTTCGAAGTGATCAATCGGTCCGTCAATTGTTATCGCCCGATCAATCTTGAATCGAACACCGTTAGATATTAAAGGAAGCAATGGTAACCCAATTCCTTATTGAGTTAAGTAACGTTTTATTATTTTTAACTTTTATCTGCGTTAAAATGCAAATCAATCAAAGTTTCTCTAGTTGCAGTTTCAAAATAAACATCGTATATTAACGTATGCACTTAGTAAATAATAATAAATTAAATTTCATCAAACTTCTAATATATTTTCTCGAATTCAATTGATTCAGTGAAATTAACGGTATGTTATTAAGTTTAAGAATCACGCGATACTATAAGTATGACAAGAAATAATTCAAATAGGGTATAATCTGACATTAATAAATTTAACAGTGAAACGTATTTTAAAATATTAAAACGTTTATCTTTATTTCTTCGTTAAAATTTTCACGAATTAATCACGAATGTGATTTTACTTATAATGCCAAATTCTTCCTGTACGAGTTCCAAGTTCTTTGATTAATGCGTTTCGCAAAATATTAACGGATGGCCAATCATGATGGTTATTCCTATTATAGCTAGTTATTCCACTCTAGTTAACGGCTTCTTCTCGGGAAACTCTCTCGACTGACTCACCGTGATTACGAAATATTTACTTCGGGTCTCGCAATTTTAAATCGCTCGAACAAAAGAGGAAAACTCTCTGCCTGAAACACCATTCTTTCCCACCGACGGAAAGCGGCCCAATTAGCGCGAATGAAAAGCCGTCTTCATTGCGGCGCACGAGAAACGTGAGAAACCCAAGCGGGTAATTGCTCCTGTGTAATTTCAACGATGGTAGATTTACGTGACCACAATTCGTATCTTCAGACACCGATACGCCGGGCGCAACTAGTAATTTTCAAAGCAAAATAGTAAGCGCGATTAAAGCTGGACAAACCGATCGTCTCTCGATTCTCTTCTTCGTGCGGCTGCGGTTTAATAATCGCGAACATCCGCGAGTTTGGGCAGAAAGGCATTTCTCCAGAACGACACCTGTAATCGCGATCGGATTAACCCCGTCGCAATATCGTGAAGATAAAAAAGCAATCTCTCGCTCACGCTCTCGCGACCCTACCGTTAATAACCGATTAGCTATGTTATTGTCCATCTGCTACTCATACCGTGTATTTACGGTTGATTATCCGGTATCTCAGAGTTCCATTCCGCTCGATATCAATTTTCATTCTGTGTATTAGCAAAAAAAGCTATAATCTACAGCTCTAATCTGAAATTAAGTAAAATCGAGTTCCTTCTCTCTCTTCGCAGGCTCTTCGAGATCGAGCTGCAGGGCGCGGACGAGATGGACGCCGCGAATTTGCAGGGTCTGATGCGGACGATGCTGAAGGAGGAGCGAACGCCGAACGGCTACCCGAATCCCGAGGTGATCCCGCACTCTATTCTCGGTGTGCGAGATATGGGTCTAAGTCCGAATTATCGTCTCGACGCCTTCGACAACGACGCACCATCGTTGAATCCATCGTTGAATACGCCAAAGCTGCCGAGTCTTAACGAGAAGTTGTACTATTTGAAGAGTGGCCGGCCCAAGGTTTACGTGAACGTGCGAGGGCACAGCGGCTCCTTCCGCAAGGATACCAACGTCTCGTCTACGGCGACCCCGAGCGAAGGTGCGGTGGGATACCTCAGGGTCACGCGACCTTTCGAGAGGCAGACCGACTGGAAGGCGCGGGACAAGAAGACTCGACCACCCAAGAAATTCGATCGTCGCGTTGACGGTGTCGTTCTGAGGAATGACGAAATCGGCAAAAATGATCGAACAACGTTTTACGGAGCAGACGAGCTGTCGACCACGGAGAATTCCATGGTCACGTCCAGCGAACTACCTAAACAGATACCCGCGCCGCCCAGCAAAGTCTACGGACGGATCCTGATGGCGCAGACCACGCCTGTGCAGAGGTACGCACTTAGGAGGACAGATATCCTGCCAGGATACGGTTTCGAAGAGTAAAATCAAATATCTCTGTAAAAACGAAAAAA